GTGTTGTGGCCGAAACGTCGTGAGAATTTTATTGTGTTATTTTATTAATTTGTTATTTTATTCTCATTCTACGTGGCTTTACCGAAAGAACCAAAGAAGACTTCTGTGTTAAGCAATTTTTATTCTAAACAAAAGCTTAACACTCTAATATGCGAATTCTTATGCTTGAAATTGTCAACACAGTACTCCAGGAAATGTTCCCCTCATTTATCCATACATTTAACCCTCAATGATCACGTTTGTTACTTCCTCAGAGTAACACGAGCATATAAGACGATAGGAAAAAAAAGTCCTTAAAAATTCATGCAACGATTTTCATACGAAGGCAATAAAGAAACATGTCCTGAAGGCAAAGTATACGGTAATTAATTCATGAGCAAGATTACATAATTGCGAAATTCCTTGGAACAAGGGTGTGTGGCAGTACGCCTGCTTCAGCAAATACTCATCAATTGGCTAAGGCTTCATGGATTCATACATTTAACCCTCAATGATCACGTTTGTTAATTGGGTAACAGAACGATTACTTCAGAGTAACACGAGCATATACGGCAAATAGGAATAAAAAGTCCTTAAAAATTCATGCAACGATATTCATACGAAAGGCAATAAAGCAAATTATTATACCCCAAAGGCAGAAGTATACGTCAATAGATTAATCGGCAAGATTATATAATTAACTAAATGTCTTGGAATAAGGGTGTGCAACGGGGTGCGTGCCCTCCTACGGGAGATTCTTATCTTTGGCCAAGTCTTAATTAAACAGGTTTAACACGATATTCTCTCTGTGAGTGTGTAAATTCGTGACGAAGGTTTCAAAAGTGTAGTTTGTATCGATGAATCTATTGGTAATTTATGCGATTGGAAGTAAAATCACAAAACAAAATAAGAGGAAAAAATATGAATGTACTTTATAAACGACGTATTCTTATCACTCGATGAGCCGCGATGCCTTCGCGGCCAGCTGATGGTTCATGCACTTTATAATTAGTCTTCTTATTAATGATTCGTGTATGTTTTGATTTGAAGCTTTCGTGACTGCAGTAATTCATATTCTTAGTTTTTTCGGTAAAGTCACGTTGAAGGGAAACAACAAAATAATAAAATATATAAAACAATAAAAAATTCTCACGTTTCGACCATAACTCAAACGGTCATCTTCAGGTGTGTTGGTTTGCATAAAACGGCGCATTTATTTATTTATTAAAAAAACGTTAGCGCCACGCGCAACGACTTGGCAGTTTATTTAGGACTAGTCCATCTATATTCTGAAAAGAGGAGGGGGGAGACGAAATTTTTTATAATGTATGCTGTCTGAAAGCCACTGTAAGCATCAACAATCAATTAAGACCTGAAATGGTTTATCAAATCTTTCCAATGATTGCTAAGATAGAATCCATCTTCTTGGTTGAAATTGTCTCTGTGCTTGTATATGTGGATAGCCTCATGAACGAATCTCTCATGGAAGCCAGATGGCTTACAAAGAACCTCTGTCTTGGAAAAGTCAATGGCATGTGAGCCTACTGAATTAGAACAATGATCTGCCACGGCCAAGGTGTTGGTCCTACCGTGTTTAAGGTCTGCTTTGTGTTCACGAATGCGGTCCGAGACATGGCGTTTGGTTTCTCCAATGTAACTACTACCACAGAGGCAACTTAGTTTGTAGACACCAGGGTATTGTATGTCCGGAATCACATCTTTTACAGATGGAACCAGATCACGGATTTTATGTAATGTGTTGAAACGAACCTGAATCTTGTGTTTATTCAAGATTTTGGAGATCTTTTTTGTGATCCCCGCAATGTAGGGTAAAGTGATGGTTTTGAAAGGCTCCTCAAGAGGGTTCTTCATGGTTTGAGTGATAGCTTTGCGGATTGTATAGTCGGAGTAACCATTAGCCCTAAGAGCTTGGTGTACGTGCTTGAGTTCACTGCTTATGTGTTCCTGGTCGGATATGCATTGGGCTCTATGATACAGAGTCTTGATGAGAGAATTCTTTTGTGATGGATGGTGGTGGGAATCCGGTTTCAGATAAGCATCCGTATGGGTAGCTTTCCTGTAGACAGAGTGGCTCATTGAACCATCAGGTCTCTTTTTAATTAGGACATCCAAAAAAAAGGTATCTTGCCATCTATTTCGACTTCCATGGTAAATCTGATGGCTGGGTGTATGGAATTGATGTGGTCGAAGAATTGGTCTAGAGCAAGCCGGCCATGTGGCCAGATGACAAAAGTGTCATCCACGTACCTCTTCCATAAGGTTGGGCGCAGAGTGGCAGTCTGGATGGCGTCAGTCTCAAATTTCTCCATGAAAATGTTAGCTATAACTGGAGAAAGGGGGGAGCCCATTGGGGTGCCCTCAGTTTGAGTGGGGATGGTATGGGTTGAGTGGGGATGTGTTCTTGATCAATTCTTTGCGTCAAGCAAACGCCAGGTGATGCGTTGTAATGTGTGGCAGTGTGCGTATAATACGGATAGCTGGGTTCTCCTTCTTTCACACGGGCGGCCGGAGTTCGGTCCACAGCTGGTTGGAAGAGTTGGCACGACGCTCGCCGTCGGTGCGCGATGATCCCGTCGTCAGGTAGCACCCACAGCTCGTCCGCTGGCAGCTGACACCCTTGCTTAGTGGCGCTGGTGGCGCTGGTGGCGCTGCGGCATGCTCTCTCCTGGCAGGCTTGGTCGACGTTTGGCACTTTCCGCCCTCTCTGACGGATGATGCTGGAATTCTCGTTTGCTTAGCTCGAACTGCAGTGGCTCTTGTGAGTCGATGCCCATAGCGGAATGATTTTCGAGCGATACTTCTTCTGATGGCGCTGAATTCGCATGGCGTAGCATGTCGCTACTCAGCGAGCCTCGCCATCCTGGATGAGTTGCGGAGTCTTCTTCTGCGTCGGTGGCTAGCTGGCCATCTTCGGTAGCTGATGGTCGCCGTCTTCTGCCGCTGGTAGCTGTTGTTTCAATGCTGGCTTGTCTCTTTTTATGACAAAATTCCTTACTCTGATCTCCCTCTCACAAAGGGCCGGAACTTCCTTTGATCTCGCTCTGCGTTGTGGGGGGGCGGGGGCTGTACGTGTGTCCGTGTGTGTCATTTATTAAGCCATCTTTCCATCCGTGGGACACAGATGCCCCACCTGCAATAAAAAGAGTCATTTTCCTCGATCTGGGTGTTACATTCCTTGCTATCCCGTGCTGCCGGAAGACAAAGACGGTTGGGCGGCTCTTCCTATGGAACACAGTTTATCTTGGTTGTGTAAGTTTGACCTATTCGCCTCATCCCTTCTCGATAACCCTCGGTTTAAAACTGCATAAATATTATTTGGTTTATGTTTCCTAAGATTTGTGATTTAACATTGTCATCACCACGTATTTTTTTAGGGTTTATTAATTTCGTCCCCCCGTCTGTATCCTGGGATCCGTGCTGTTATACTAGAGTCATGTTTTAGTGTCCTGAGTTCCAGGGGTATACCTACTCTTCGGTTAAGCTTCTTGACTGCTGGAATTCATTTCTTTGTTTATTGTAAAGTCACGTAAACGGCAAGATGTAGTGTAATTTAAGGTGAATAACATTAGTATTAATATGACATGTATGAGAAGTGATAACCCGCTAGGTAGATTGTAGTCTGTTTATTTAATCGTAGTGATTGTGTAGATTCCTATGTCAGCTTATTCTTGTGGCTGAGTTTTTCTTGGACTTTCTGTTAATTAAAAGAACCAAAACTTGTCTGTCTGGTTTTCGCTGCCCTGGAAGCTGGCGAGGCTTGAAGCCGTGTCGGGATTTTTTTTCTCATTAGGAATTCCCCCCCCCCTTCTCTTTGTTTTGGGTTTATTACTTTTTATTGCTTATCTCCGGCGGCCTGTTGTGTGTGAGGGGAGGGGGGCTGTATCACCCCCTTTTGCCCCAAGTCACACCACGATTGAAGAAAAATATATTGGCAAAATCCTTATTAATATCAAAAACAAAAATGGAAAAAAGCCTATATATACAACACCTGGTGGTCCACCATCATAGTGTGTAGTTAGCCGGGTGGTCCACCACCATAGGGTGTAGTTAGCCTGGTGGTCCACCACTATAGTGTGTAGTTAGCCTGGTGGTCCACCACCATAGTGTGTAGTTAGCCTGGTGGTCCACCACCATAGTGTGTAGTTAGCCTGGTGGTCCACCACTATAGTGTGTAGTTAGCCTGGTGGTCCACCACCATAGTGTGTAGCTAGCCTGGTGGTCCACCACCATAGTGTGTAGTTAGCCTGGTGGTCCACCACCATAGTGTGTAGTTAGCCTGGTGGTCCACCACCATAGGGTGTAGTTAGCCTGGTGGTCCACCACTATAGTGTGTAGTTAGCCTGGTGGTCCACCACCATAGTGTGTAGTTAGCCTGGTGGTCCACCACCATAGTGTGTAGTTAGCCTGGTGGTCCACCACTATAGTGTGTAGTTAGCCTGGTGGTCCACCACCATAGTGTGTAGCTAGCCTGGTGGTCCACCACCATAGTGTGTAGTTAGCCTGGTGGTCCACCACCATAGTGTGTAGTTAGCCTGGTGGTCCACCACCATAGTGTGTAGTTAGCCTGGTGGTCCACCACCATAGTGTGTAGTTAGCCTGGTGGTCCACCACCATAGTGTGTAGTTAACCTGGTGGTCCACCACTATAGTGTGTAGTTAGCCTGGTGGTCCACCACCATAGTGTATAGTCAGCTTGGTGGTCCACCACCATAGTGTGTAGTTAGCCTGGTGGTCCACCACCATAGTGTGTAGTTAGCCTGGTGGTCCACCACCATAGTGTGTAGTTAGCCTGGTGGTCCACCACCATAGTGTGTAGTTAGCCTGGTGGTCCACCACCATAGTGTGTAGTTAGCCTGGTGGTCCACCACTATAGTGTGTAGTTAGCCTGGTGGTCCACCACCATAGTGTGTAGTTAGCCTGGTGGTCCACCACCATAGTGTGTAGTTAGCCTGGTGGTCCACCACTATAGTGTGTAGTTAGCCTGGTGGTCCACCACCATAGTGTGTAGTTAGCCTGGTGGTCCACCACCATTGGTTATCTGGTGGAGGAGCAGTTACCCCTTTGTGTTGGTATCAATAAATGTGTCGCCTCCAAAGAGTACGTCTGCGACTCAGTTGAACTCATGACACAATTGTGTGATGTGAAGCGCCCCGTAAAACGATGAATTGATATGAAGTGAAGTGACGGGCCACGTGAAAACAAAGCATGGCCCCCGTCTGGCCCACATGCCACAGGGTCCCTGCTGTCCTGGGGTAACCTGGCGCTCGCCTTTGGGTTTATCAGAGTGTGGTGAGCGTGGTGAGCGCAAGGAGCGAGGTGAGTGCAGGGAGCAAGGTGAGCGTGGCGAGCATTGTGAGCGTGGCGAGTGCGGTGAGTGAGGTGATTGTGGCGAGCGTGGTGAGCGCGGGGAGCAAGGTGAGCGAGGAGAATGCGATTAGTGCGGTGAGCGTGGCGAGCGAGGCGAGCGAGGTGAGCGCGAGGAGCAAGGAGAGTGCGATAAGCGTGGTGAGCGCGGTGAGCGTGGCGAGCGAGGTGAGCTAGCCGGTCTGGCAAGCACCGTGGCTGAGCTCGTGCAAGGGGTCCGTGCCGTGGCCGTGGGGCCGCGCACGCGCCAGGGCGTCGCAGCGCAGCAGCAGGTCGTAGTTGACGCGCTCCGAGATTACGCTGTCGTGCGCGTAGTCGGGGTGGCCGCTCACGAAGGCGCGCAGCCGCTGGGCCGTCGTCCCCAGCTCCCCTGGGGGAAAGCAACGAGACGCGCGCGCGGTCACCGCGGCGGCGGCGGCGGCAGCGGAGGCGGAGACGACGACGACCGCTACCCTGCGCGTAGCGATGCGCGGAGACTCTCGCGCGCGTAAGGCGCCTGGGCTCGTCGCACCGCGCAACCCGAGCAGGATTTCTGAGCCCGGATAGCGCTTGGATGGGCGACCACCGCGCACGCCGAGGCGTTACCGGCTGCTGCGGTGCTACGTCGTCGGCAGCAGAGGGCAGTGTAGCCAAAATCGATTGTACTGTACTACGCTCCCGCTTCTACGCTCCCGGCCATCAACAGTCTGCGGTCGTCACCCCCTCGGTCGCTTCCCCTCGTATGGCTGCCATTCCCACACCGGTCTCGTCTGTCGGCCACCGTACCCTGCACAGCGACGATGAGGCTTGCACGAGGTCAGGACTCATGGTCGCTCGCACTTGGAGAAGGGGCGGTGCACCCCCGGAGTGCACTCACCGGACGCGCGCTTGCTGATGAGCTCCAAGTAGTGGGAGATCGTGCACCGAGTCTCCACGTCCACCTCCATGTCCTCCAGGAAGCTGTTGACTATGGGGACGAGGCCCTGGAACACCCCCACCTGTGCTTGCACAGCACACCACAGCACACCGCACACACCACAGCACACCGTAAACACCACAGCACACCGCACACACCACAGCACACCGCACACACCACAGCACACCGCACACACCACAACACACCGTAAACATCACAGCACACACCGCACAAACCACAGCACACCGTAAACACCACAGCACACCGCACACACCACAGCACGCCGCACACACCACAGCACACCGCACACACCACAACACACCGTAAACATCACAGCACACACCGCACAAACCACAGCACATCGTAAACACCACAGCACACCGCACACATCATAGCACACACCACAGCACACCGTAAACACCACAGCACACCGTAAACACCACAGCACACCGCACACACCACAGCACACCGCACACACCACAGCACACCGTAAACACCACAGCACACCGCACACATCACAGCACACCGTAAACACCACAGCACACCGCACACATCATAGCACACACCACAGAACACCGTAAACACCACAGCACACCGCACACAGCACACCGCACATACCACAGCACACCGTAAACACCACAGCACACCGCACACACCACATCACACCGTAAACACCACAGCACAACGCACACATCACAGCACACTGTAAACACCACAGCACACCGCACACATCACAGCACACACCACAGCACACCACACCGTAAACACCACAGCACACCGCACACACCACAGCACACCGCACACACCACAGCACACCGTAAACACCACAGCACACCGTAAACACCACAGCATACCGCACACACCACAGCACACACCGCACACATCACAGCACACCGTAAACACCACAGCATACCGCACACACCACAGCACACACGCACACATCACTGCACACACCACAGCACACTGCACACACCACAGCACACACTGCACACATCACAGCACACACCACACCGTAAACACCACAGCACACCGTAAACACCACAGCACACCACACGTATCACAGCACACACCACAGCACACATCACACACATCACAGCACACACCGCACATAGCACAGCACGCCACAGCACACATCACCGCACACACCACAGCACACCGCACACACCACAACACACCATAAACACCACAGCACACCGCACACATCACAGCACACACCACAGCACACCGTAAACACCACAGCACACCGTACACACCACAGCACACTGTAAACACCACAGCACCCCGCACACACCACAGCACACTGTAAACACTACAGCACACCGTAAACACCACAGCACACCGCACACAGCACAGCACACCGCACACACCACAGCACACCGTAAACACAACACACCGCACACATTACAGCACACACCACAGCACACCACACCGTAAACACCACAGCACACCGCACACACCACAGCACACACCATAGCACACCGCACACATCACAGCACACACCGCACACACCACAGCACACCGTAAACACCACCGCACACACCACAGCACACCGCACACATCACAGCACACCGTAAACACCACAGCACACACCGCACACACCACAGCACCCTGCACACAACACAGCACACACCGCACACATCACAGCACACACCACAGCACACACCACAGCACACCACACCGCAAACACCACAGCACACCGTAAACACCACATTACACCACACGCATCACAGCACACTGTAAACACCACAGCACACCGCACACATCACAGCACACACCACAGCACACCACAGCACACATCACACACACCACAGCACACACCGCACATAGCACAGCATGCCACAGCACACATCACCGCACACACCACAGCACACCGTACACACCACACCGCACGCCACAGGACAACTGATCACACCGCACCACAGCACACCACACCATGGCAGCAGTGTCAGCTACAGCCTTCAGTTTATTAGTGTTACTCTCACCAGGCTTGTCACGTCGATTTGTTGCATCACAGGATGGCGACAGATGGCAATGCCTTGGAAGAGGCCTGAATCCAGCAGTGGATTGATCATGGCTGATGATGATACAGTGAGGGAAAAAAAGTATTTGATCCCTGCTGATTCTGAACGTTTGCCCACTGACAAAGAAATGATCAGTCTATAATTTTAATGGTAGGTTTATTTGAACAGTGAGAGACAGAATAACAACAACAAAAATCCAGAAAAAGGCATGTCAAAAATGTTATAAATTGATTTGCATTTTAATGAGGGAAATAAGTATTTGACCCCTCTGCAAAACATGACTTAGTACTTGGTGGCAAAACCCTTGTTGGCAATCACAGAGGTCAGACGTTTCTTGCAGTTGGCCACCAGGTTTGCACACATCTCAGGAGGGATTTTGTCCCACTCCTCTTTGCAGATCTTCTCCAAGTCATTACGGTTTTGAGGCTGACGTTTGGCAACTCGAACCTTCAGCTCCCTCCACAGATTTTCTATGGGATTAAGGTCTGGAGACTGGCTAGGCCACTCCAGGACCTTAATGTGCTTCTTCTTGAGCCACTCCTTTGTTGCCTTGGCCGTGTGTTTTGGGTCATTGTCATGCTGGAATACCCATCCACGACCCATTTTCAATGCCCTGGCTGAGGGAAGGAGGTTCTCACCCAAGATTTGACGGTACATGGCCCCGTCCATCGTCTCTTTGATGCGGTGAAGTTGTCTTGTCCCCTTAGCAGAAAAACACCCCCAAAGCATAATGTTTCCACCTCCATGTTTGACGGTGTGGATGGTGTTCTTGGGGTCATAGGCAGCATTCCTCCTCGTCCAAACACGGCGAGTTGAGTTGATGCCAAAGAGCTCCATTTTGGTGTCATCTGACCACAACACTTTCACCCAGTTGTCCTCTGAATCATTCAGATGGTCATTGGCAAACTTCAGACGGCATGTATATGTGCTTTCTTGAGTAGAGGGACCTTGCGGGTGCTGCAGGATTTCAGTCCTTCACGGCGTAGTGTGTTACCAATTGTTTTCTTGGTGACTATGGTCCCAGCTGCCTTGAGATCATTGACAAGATCCTCCCGTGTAGTTCTGGGCTGATTCCTCACCGTTCTCATGATTATTGCAACTCCACGAGGTGAGATCTTGCATGGAGCCCCAGGCCGAGGGAGATTGACAGTTCTTTTGTGTTTCTTCCATTTGCGAATAATCAGGCCAACTGTTGTCACCTTCTCACCAAGCTGCTTGGCAATAGTCTTGTAGCCTATTCCAGCCTTGTGTAGGTCTACAATCTTGTCCCTGACATCCTTGGAGAGCTCTTTGGTCTTGGCCATGGTGGAGAGTTTGGAATCTGATTGATTGATTGCTTCTGTGGACAGGTGCCTTTTATACAGGTAACAAGCTGAGATTAGGAGCACTCCCTTTAAGAGTGTGCTCCTCATCTCAGCTCGTTACCTGTATAAAAGACACCTGGGAGCCAGAAATCTTTCTGATTGAGAGGGGGTCAAATACTTATTTCTCTCATTAAAATGCAAATCAATTTATAACATTTTTGACATACTTTTTCTAGATTTTGTTGTTGTTATTTTATCTCTCACTGTTCAAATAAACCTACCATTAAAATTATAGACTGATCATTTCTTTGTCAGTGGGCAAACGTACAAAATCAGCAGGGGATCAAATACTTTTTTTCCCTCACTGTATGTGGGATGGATGCATGACTGGGAAGTGGTGAGCCGGTCTGCAGCACGGGAAATGCAAGTGACTGCTTTGAGTGGAGCTGCACGCTTGAAGGCAGCTCACATGATCACTGGGAGATGAGCTCGAATCATAATATACAACTGTCAATCCACCGCTTGATGATGGCCTCCCCACACAGTCACGGGGTTTTTACCATACATCACGTGTGTCAGCATGGGGGCGTGGCGGAGTCTCCAGAACTGGTTCAGATTTCGCTCGCCAACTGACCACCACACCATCGCGCAAAACGGCGGCAGCGAGACGTTGTACAGCGGCGATTGTTGCGGTGCTCCGGACCGCCACGGCGGTGGACGGCACAGGGTGAGCGCGACGCTGCAAGAGTCCGCGGGGCCTGACACTTGCGAGGATGGCCGCACGCCCTGTCCCGCCGGGTTGCCCACCTTGCCGTTGATGACGGTGTTAATACTCATGAGGATCCCCACCTCGTCCTCGGACGCAGTGCCGTCCGCTGGGAGAGCGTCCACCTCTGGTCGCAAAAAAAAGAAACCGCACGGCAGTTTGATGGTCACGGGAGTTGGCGAGCGACCATGAGCGAGGTTAAGCGCGCGTGTGACGCGCACAAACACGCAGGGCAGGCTCGGGTGAAGGCTCGGGTTACGAAGAGGCCCGGATCGGTGGCCCGGAGGTCAGAGTGACTGAGCCGGCAACGCTGAGACCCTGGGTTCCAATCCGGGGTTCAGTGGCCGCCTGTGATCAAACCGGGTTCTCAAGCGTGGTGAGTTGATGGTCTCAGCCCACTCAACAATGATTGTTCAAAAATGACTAAATCCATGACATAAAATTTGGTTCTGCACTTAACTTCGCCAAATTTCAGCTGTGAGACTTCAAATATCACTTTGACTGCCATGCGACAAACATTACTGTCGGCAGCGGAGCGAGTGCTGCCCCCTACCGTGTGACATGGAGGTCATATGCAGAAGGGATCTCAGAAATAGTTCCATGATATTCACTTCTGTGGGCTGTTCTCTAACAAGGGGATTGGGGTGGGGGTCACTGCCACGTGAGATTTCTGAATGGATTCATCATCTCGTAAGTCGACACCGACAGCTCAATGAAGGTAAAGTTGCGAGAGAAAAAAAGACGACGTATGTTTTGTAATGGCTCGACTTGCCTGCCTGAATGTCCTTCCTGAAATAAAACATCTCCTCCAGCACCGCGTTCCTCTTCTGCGCCTTCGTGATGTTCTCATCTACCTGCGGTGGAAGAGAATTGACGATCGGGCACATGCCAAACATTCAGGTGGCAACCTTTTGCGCTAAAGGTGCTTGAGGCAATAAAAAAGTAGCATAGTATATAAATCGCACACATTTGTAACGTGCTGCACAGTTCTCATAAGATTCAGGGGCGATGGAACCAGAGCCCGGTGCTAAAAATTGCCCAAGCTCTGAGGTCCAATATAGGGACTACTTACGAATATTCGACTTACGAACTTTCAGAGATACAAACGCACCGAATAGTCGTAAGCTCAACCGCCAAGCAATAGATAGCAGTGGTGGCATATACATCTGCAGAACATGAATAACCAGTGGCATCTACATATGCAGAACCAGTGGCATCTACATCTGCAGAACATGAAGAACATAGTGGCATCTACAGCTACAGGAGATTATTCAACTTTTGAAGCCATTCCCCGTGTTTAGTGTACACGCCGTACAACGGATGTGTAATCGATGGGAGTAAAGTTGGACTTACGAACAGACTTCTGGAACCTAAACTCGTTCGTGAGAGGAGTCCCCGTATTAGGATGCTTAGGCCAACTCTATGAACGTGTGTTTCTCCACGTGGGAGGAAAGCAGAGCACCCGGAGAAAACTCACCGTGTGCGAACGGGGGGAGGGGGGGGTTACACTTGCTGCACTACCATACCCTGGATAAAGCCAGGAGATGGCAATGTTGCAGCGCAAGCGGCACTGGGAGTTTCATGAAGGAACGCGTGTGTGTGCGTGTATGTGGAGTGGTGTGCGTAACGCAAACGTACCGTTAGTCACAATGTTAACGTGAGTTGAAACTGTGGGGTCATTATGGGAGGTGAAACGTTCACCGCAAAAACCGTTAACGAGATGTCACTGTTAACCAAGGGACTACCGTACAAGTTACATTGTGTGTGGAGGTTTTTTGTTGTTTGTTTTAGCTATGGGAGGAAACCAGAGAACCCGGAGGAAACCCATGCAGAACAGAATCCACTCATGAAGGTACCCGAGTGGGGAATAGAACCCAGGGCATTCTTACTCCGAGGCACAAGCTCTACCATTATCATAGGCTATCCGTCACAATCGAGGATAATTGTCTTCCATAGAAAAGTCGGATTATCTGTGGGCCTGAAGAGACGGATGTGGGATTGACAGATTCTCCCGCAGCTCAGGCACGTGTCCAGCAAGAGTGGGTGGGTGGAACTGGGTTAGGAAGTCGGGCTGCAGCGTCGTGCTGTTTCCACCGTTCCCGCTTTTCCTCTCCTTACTCTTTGGTTCTTTCGGTAAAGTCCCGTTGCCGCGAGAGAACCAAAGAGTATGGATTCTTGCAGTCACGAAAGCTTCAAATTAAGATTTTCCTCTTCCTGTTTCCGCCGTTCAGTAAAAAAATGTGTGAATCCGTGAAATAGACGATGTCTCCAGCACTACCACCGCGCCACCCTATATACATATGCGGCCGAGTTGCAATGCGACCAGGTAGAGCCTCGCGGCAACGCTCACACATGCCCGAGTCGGGAATCGAACCCAGGACATTCTTACTCCGAGGCACAAGCGCTAACACTTGCGCCAGCCTATAGACAAGCGGCCGGGTTGCAATGCGACCAGGACGGACCTCTCGGCAGCGCTCGCACGGCCGGTAGGGAGGGATGCGGCTCCTTACCTTGGAGAGCGGCACGAGGAAGTTGAGGCCATAGGAGAGGATGACGCGCGTGAGCAGCACCACGAACACCACGTATGCTGCGTTCTCAAAGTCTGTGAGCTGCACCTACACCACACGCTGGGGACTCAGTTTGGCTGCTTCATTTCACCCGCACTGTGCTCAACCACCACGACTGCATGTCACAGCACACTCACTCAATCGCCCACTCACTCACCCGCTCACTCATTCACTCACTCACCACACTGCATGTGACAACCACAACAACACACTCGCCCACCCACTCAATCGCCCACTCACTCATCCACTCACTTATTCACCCACTTACTCAGCAAACTGTGGGGTCAGAACGCTTCTCGTTCTGCTTCTTCCCACACACTGCTCGACTTTGAAATTCCCTCTTCCCATCATCACCTCTTTTCCCAAGCCTCAGAGGCATCTCGGTATGACTCCACCTCAGTGTATAATCCGCATTTCCCTCTCAGAGAGGCTTACGTCCATCGGCCGGAACTCGACGAGCCACCCGATGCTGGTGTTCGGCGGCGGAAGCTTTAAGCGCAACGTCTGCCAGTTTGTGGACTGGATGCACTGCAACGCACACGCACGCACACGGGACGGGCGCTCCGGTCAGCGTCCACGATCACGGAAGACACGCGCCGATCTCTCGCGGGTGTGCTCCAGTCTGGCTTTCACTTCTCACGGAATATTTTACGGGGTCGCCAGTTAGGTTGGCACGCGACTGGTAGCTACGGACACCGCGAATGGGGCATTCGGGAGTCGGCAGGGCAGATCAGTAATAACACACTTGTATCTCACAGTAGGAAGAGGCCTGGGTTCGATTCCCGACTCGGGCATCTTTCTGCGTGGAAAACTTTGTGTGTTTAGCCCCCCTCTTCTCTGCGGGTCTCCTATGGGTTCTCCAGTTTCATCCTACAGCTAAAAACGCCATTGGCCAAACAACATCCCAATGCTGAAAAACTACCTGCAAATTACTCAAATTAGCATCAAACAGAAGCAGCTGCAGCAATATCGCAACCCTCACCATATGCGAAAATTGGCGGCACCCTCCTGAAAAATATTATTTGGACCCGGCGAGGCTTTTACGGGTAAACAAGCGAAATAATAATATGAATATTTATAAAGTACACTGGCAGTGGTGTGCGGATGTCTCACTTCAAAGTGGTAGGCCTCGTTCTCATCGTCATCGACGTGGATCTTCTCCCAGAGCATCACGAGGGGGTCACGGATGAAGAGGTGAGCAAAGTGCTGAGCGAGCAGCGGATCGATGCCTGCGGGCCAGAGGCACGGCTCATGCAAAAAGACAAAGATCCCTCCCGCCGTGTGGCCTTGAACAAAGGCTGCTGGGAGAAAGCGCTGTTAAGAGAGCACCGATGACGGCCGGAACGGTACCCGAGGGGTGTGGGTGGCCAGCACCACGTCCGACCGTCTTTGTCTCCCCAGTAGCGATGTTTACACACTGCACTGAGTACTCAGTTGAGGCCGAGTCGACCTAGGGGAGGCCCACGACCAGTTCAGATAATCATCACTGGTCGCTAGTTTCGTAGAGCAGCACGCTAACTGCTACACTACCGCTTCTCCACATGCACACACAGTTCACGCACACACACACGTTGCATGTCACTCGAATAAGAAGAAAAACACTTTGCATTGACAAACCAGCTTCATCAGGCGATAGCCAGAAATGTGGAGAATTCCTCCTGTTTCGGTCTTAATTCCTCCTGGAATTAGCAATGAAATGTCACAGTACGAGAATTGTAAATGTTGTGGGGTTTACTCTCCAACACACAACCGGTGTGCTGAACGAGTAACTAATTGCTATGTTTTGTTTCAGTGACAAACCTTACCAATTGGCTGTATTTACGCGATCTAACTCAAAAAAACGCCCTCTATTATGGCCTGAACCAGTTTAAAAAGCGAAGAGGGGAGAGCTGGAGGGCATGGGGAAGTGGGAAAGTGGGAAAGTGGGTGCCTGCAAGGGACACCAGCCAGGTGACACACTCAACCCCATCACAATCGACATGACGTATCAGGCTCCCCTCGCCGGCATGCCTGTGGTCACGCAGCACCGAGTCACGTGTTCTCGACCAGTGAGGAGCAGCTGATAGTTGAACCGGCACGGAAAGTCAAAAAACCTTCGGCGTTTCACAGCAAGTGCGATTAATCTATAACCCCAATTAATGGTCGGTGAGAGTGAAGGAGAGGAGAGGTGAGCATGGCGGGGGAGGTGAGCGTGGAGGGGGCGGGTGAGCACGGTGAGGGAGGTGAGCGTGATGGGAGAGGTGAGCGCGGCGGGGGAGGTGAGCGTGGAAGGGGAGGTGAGCGCGGAGGGGGGGGTGAGCGTGGCGGGGGAGGTGAGCACGGCGAGGGAGGTGAGCGCGGAAGGGGAGGTGAGCGCGGCGGGGGAGGTGAGCGTGGCGGGGGAGGTGAGCGCAGTGGGGGAGGTGAGCGTGGTGGGGCAGGTGAGCGCGGAAGGGGAGGTGAGCGTGGAGGGGGGGGGGGGTGAGCGTGGCGGGGGAGGTGAGTGCGGAGGGGGGGGGGTGAGCGCGGAGGGGGAGGTGAGCGCGGTGGGGGTGGTGAGCGGCCAGTACGGCAGGGGAGGTGAGCGCGGTGGGGGTGATGAGCGGCCAGTACGGCAGGGGAGGTGAGTAAAGCAGGGGAGGTGAGAATGTTGGGGGAGGTGAGAATGGTGGTGGAGGTGAGCCTGGCAGGGGAGGTGAGCTTGGCAGGGAGAACTTCCGTGCCTGCATCCAGGAGCTGCAGGTGGACGTCCTCGTCCTTGGGCAACTCCAGATCATTGAACTGCGCTCCGCCGGGTGACAGGAAGCTGTCGATGGAGTCAAACCGTGACTTGGTGATTCGCCTCTTGCATGTTGTGAGGGGCTGCAAAAGAGAGATGTGCAAATTGATATTTTGATTGTGAAGATTCTCAGCGGTGCCAGCTCAATGCTCACGCCTCATGGCCACGACAACCGAAGGCTGCAAAAAACAAATGACAATAAACCCGATGCCTAGGAAACAACGCGTTATGATATATATTACTAACGGTAAGCTCCCGGCGTTGCCCGAGTAAAAAAGATATTTCAAAACTTCTCTATATACACAGACACTAAGGTATGTGAAAGCCCGGTGGGCCGTTTGTCCATTTCTCCACCAACAAAATTTTAGAGGCTTGCACAAGTCTAAAAAGTTATAGAAAGTGGGGGTAAATAGTTGATCTAAAAGGTTTCCGAAAATTGTCGCCACCCCCCCCCCCCCGCTCAAAAAATATCTTTACTCTCACGTAGGTATGTATACCTACACACCCTACATACAACAAAGTAGTATCTCTTGCCTCTGTAGTTGTATCTACTGACTGTACAGTAGGATTTACTGAGCCAGTAGTAGCTACTGACTGTTTATTAGTATTTACTGATCGTAGTAACTACTGACCCAAGTAGTATCTACTTGCCCTACAGTAGTATCTACTCACTCTATATCAGTAGCTACTAACCGGTAGTTTCTACTGACTGTGTAGTAGTATTTACTGACCGTAGTGGTATATACTGACTGTTTTAGTATCTACTAACTCTATATAGCAGTATCTACCAACTGGATAGCAGTATCTACTACAGTGAGAGAAAAAATCTCCTGCTGATTTTGTACGTTTGTCCACTGACAAAGAAATGACCAGTCTATAATTTTAATGGTAGGTTTATTTGAACAGTGAGAGACAGAATCACAACAAAAAAAATCCAGAAAAACGCATGTCAAAAATGTTATAAATTGATTTGCATTTTAATGAGGGAAATAAGTATTTGAACCCCTCTCAATCAAAAAGATTTCTGGCTCCCAGGTGTCTTTTATACAGGTAACGAGCTGAGATTAGGAGCACACTCTTGAGAGTGCTCCTAATCTCAGCTTGTTATCTGTATAAAAGGTACCTGTCCACAGAAGCAATCAATCAATCAGATTCCAAACTCTCCACCATGGCCAAGACCAAAGAGCTCTCCAAGGATGTCAGGGACAAGATTGTAGACCTACACAAGGCTGGAATGGGCTACAAGACCATTGCCAAGCAGCTTGGTGAGAAGGTGACAACAGGTGGTGCGAATATTCGCAAATGGAAGAAACACAAAAGAACTGTCAATCTCCCTCGGCCTGGGGTTCCATGCAAGATCTCACCTCGTGGAGTAGCAATGATCATGAGAACGGTGAGGGATTAGCCCAGAACTACACAGGAGGATCTTGTCAATGATCTCAAGGCAGCTGGGACCATAGTCACCAAGAAAACAATTGGTAACACACTACGCCGTGAAGGACTGAAATCCTGCAGCGCCCGCAAGGTCCCCCTGCTCAAGAAAGCACATATACATGCCCGTCTGAAGTTTGGCAATGAACATCTGAATGATTCAGAGGACAACTGGGTGAAAGTGTTGTGGTCAGATGACACCAAAATGGAGCTCTTTGGCATCAACTCAACTCGCCGTGTTTGGAGGAAGAGGAATGCTGCCTATGACCCAAAGAACACCATCCCCACCGTCAAACATGGAGGTGGAAACATTATGCTTTGGGGGTGTTTTTCTGCTCAGGGGACAGGACAACTTCACCACATCGAAGGGACGATGGACGGGGCCGTGTACCGTCAAATCTTGGGTGAGAACCTCCTTCCCTCAGCCAGGGCATTGAAAATGGGTCGTGGATGGGTATTCCAGCATGACAATGACCCAAAACACACGGCCAAGGCAACAAAGGAGTGGCTCAAGAAGAAGCACATTAAGGTCCTGGAGTGGCCTAGCCAGTCTCCAGACCTTAATCCCATAGAAAATCTGTGGAGGGAGCTGAAGGTTCGAGTTGCCAAACGTCAGCCTCGAAACCTTAATGACTTGGAGAAGATCTACAAAGAGGAGTGGGACAAAATCCCTCCTGAGATGTGTGCAAACCTGGTGGCAAACTACAAGAAACGTCTGACCTCTGATTGCCAACAAGGGTTTTGCCACCAAGTACTAAGTCATGTTTTGCAGAGGGGTCAAATACTTATTTCCCTCATTAAAATGCAAATCAATTCATAACATTTTTGACATGCGTTTTTCTGGATTTTCTTGGTTGTTATTCTGTCTCTCACTGTTCAAATAAACCTGCCATTAAAATTATAGACTGATAATTTCTTTGTCAGTGGGCAAACGTACAAAATCAGCAGGGGATCAAATACTTTTTTCCCTCACTGTATCACTACAGCAGTGCATACTGTGGTGGGACCTGCTATGATACTGACTGTGGTGGGATCTGCTATGATTACAGCAGTGCATATTGTGGTGATACCTGCTTTCACTACAGCATTGCATACTGACTATGGTGGTACCTGCTATGACGACAGCATTGCATAATGCCTGTGGTGGTATCCTATGATTACAGCAGTGTATACTGCTGTGGTGGTACCTGCTATTACAGAAGTGCATACTGCTGTGGTGGTACCTGCTATGATTACAGCAGTGCATACTGACTGCGGTGGTACCTGCTATGATTACAGCAGTGCATATTGTGGTGGTGCCTGCTATGATTACAGCAGTGGATACCAACTGTGGTGGAACCTGTTTACACTACAGTAGTACATGCTGACTCTATCTATCTTATACATAAAAGGCAAATTTGTTAATGTGTGTCTGTTCGAAATGTTTAGCATACCCTGATGGCGGGGAGGAGGCCGTGATGGCGTGGAGGATGCCGTGATACACTCACTCATCATACACTGACTCACTCACAAATCATACACTGACTCACTCACTCACACATCATACACTGACTCACTCATACATCATACACTGACTCACTCACACATCATACACTCACTCACTCACACATCATACACTGACTCACTCACTCATCATACGCTGACTCACTCACACACTGGGATTTGAGCACACAGCGTTGTTGTATGTTCTGTTTTTAAGTTTTCAGACGTTTTAAAATATATATTTTCCCGCTAGTAGCATTAAATATCGACTCTATAGCACAACTCACTTGACAGAGTGCTGTGACGAGGCCTAGTACCGTGCAGAGCCCCCGGCCTCGCCTAGATTGCCCGGCCAGCCGAGGCTGGGGCCTGGACCGCTACCCCCCCCCCCCGCCCCCCATGGCTACAATAATACTATTTAATCGCTATAATTTTAGTATCTACCGACCCTATAACAGTAAGTGCACACATTGGGGAGGAGGGGGAGAGAAGAGGACGTGACACTTTCATGAATTTACCTCAGCGTTGCGTGTAAATTATTGGCATTTTTAACGCGAATGAGAAATGGCGTCCACCCTGCAGCGACGGCGTGCGTGCGTTGCCAGGAGCAACTCGCGTCGGTGTTTCGCGCATGCGCAACAGCGTGCCGGTCGACAAAAGCAAATAAATAATTAAAGATACATCGCGCCAAAACGCGATTTTAACCATTTTAAAGTTTAGGGATGGGGAAACGAAATAGCCTATTCCCACCACGGGGCCCGGGGTGTGTCGCCCGGCAAAAAAAATTCTACGCGAACCCCACGATCCGAGAGCCAAATCCCCCGCAAGCGAGCGTACGCAGACAGGCAGACAGAGGGACAGACAGACGGACAGACAAAAAATGCCTTTTATAGGTTAGAAGATTATTTCGAATGTAGTCACGTATTTTCGCTAGCACGTATGCACTCCCCCTGCAGAGTTAATTGCGACGCGGTGTTTAGCGGCGCCGCCGCCGATCGCAGGTCCCCAACTCGAGTGACCGACGAGCACCGTTTGTCCGCGAAATGTCAGGTCACGAGATTTCAAGCACTGTCCAGTGAACAGGTGCGAAACAGGAAGCGCTGCCAAATCAGGGCTTGAATTCAGCCGGGGGCCTGTCTGGGTTGGCAATCCAAAATATGTTTCTGCTCCCGGCACGCCCTTGCCTCCCCCAGGTTCCTAGAACATTGCTTCCTGGACAGAAGCTCTGCTTCACTCTGCTGTCCAGACATAGAATTGCCTCCCTGAACACATCGGCGAAATCACTGATTCTGGTCTTCTCGGCCTCCAAATGCCGAGCATATATGGTACATCTCCTAACTTCGCCACACGCCTTGTAGGACTGAGTGTTTTAGCTGCAGTGAATCAATGAATATGTCGATTAGATATAATAATGTCTTATATAGCTATTGTTCACAATTTCACCAAAAAATAAAATAAATATCCAGGATATCTCTCGTAACTACGGCTGTGGCTCATCACGTGCCACCTACTCCAGTCACCGGCAACACGGAAGATATTCAGTGACAGAACTTAAACCCTAAATTTTGATTTAAAGCTTTCGTGACTGCAGTAATTCATATTCTTAGCTCTTTCGGTAAAGTCACGTTGAAGGGAAACAATAAAATAATAAAATATATATAAAACAATACAAATTATCATGACGTTTCGACCATAACACAAACGGTCGTCATCAGGTGTGTCGGTTTGCATAAATTTATTTATTTGTAAACGGTGTAATTATTTATTTATAAAACGTCAGCGCCACGCGCAGCGATTTGGCAGTTTATTTAGAAAGACTAGTCCATCTATGTTCTGAAAAGAGGAGGGGGGAGACGAAAAATTAATGCATGCTGTCTGAAAGCCACCGTAAGCGTGAACAATCAATTAAGACCTGAAATGGTTTATCAAATCTTTCCAATGATTGCTAAGCCAGAATCCATCTTCTCGGTTGAAATTGTCTCTGTGCTTGTATATGTGGATAGCCTCATGAACGAATCTCTCATGGTAGCCAGATGGCTTACAAAGAACCTCTGTCTTGGAAAAGTCAATGTCATCTGAGCCTACTAAATTATAACAATGATCTGCCACGGCCGAGGTGTTGGTCCTACCGTGTTTAAGGTCTGCTTTGTGTTCACAAATGCGGTCCGAAACATGGCGTTTGGTTTCTCCAATGTAACTACTACCACAGAGGCAACTTAGTTTGTAGACACCAGGGTACTGTATGTCCGGAATCACATCTTTTACAGACGGAACCAGATCACGGATTTTATGTAATGTGTTGAAACGGACCTGGATCTTGTGTTTATTCAAGATTTTGGAGATCTTTTTTGTGATTCCCGCAATGTAGGGTAAAGTGATGGTTTTGAAAGGCTCCTCAAGAGGGTCCTTCTTCATGGTTTGAGTGATAGCTTTGCGGATTGTATAGTCGGAGTAACCATTAGCCTTAATAGCTTGGTGTATGTGCTTGAGTTCACTGCCTATGTGTTCCTGGTCGGATATGCATTGGGCTCTATGATACAGAGTCTTGATGAGAGAGTTCTTCTGTGATGGATGGTGGTGGGAATCTGGTTTCAGATAAGCATCCGTATGGGTAGCTTTCCTGTAGACAGAGTGGCTCATTGAACCATCAGGTCTCTTTTAAATTAGGACATCCAAAAAAGGTAGCTTGCCATCTTTTTCGACTTCCATGGTAAATCTGATGGCTGGGTGTATGGAATTGATGTGGTCAAAGAATTGGTCTGGAGCAGGCCGGCCATGTGGCCAGATGACAAAAGTGTCATCCACGTACCTCTTCCATAAGGTTGGGCGCAGAGTGGCAGTCTGGATGGCGTCAGTCTCAAATTTCTCTATGAAAATGTTAGCTATAACCGGAGATAGGGGGGAGCCCATTGGGGTGCCCTCAGTTTGTTTGTAGAAAGTTCCATTCCAAGTGAAGTATGTATTGGTTAAACAGTGTCTCACCAGGGGGGGTACCTCAGTGTTTAGTCCTTGATGAACCAAGTCTTCAATGATTGCGATGGTGTCAGGTACAGGAACCTTGGTGAATAAGGAAACTACATCAAAACTGACAAGCAGGTCGTCTAGGGACAGGGAAATACCCTTGATTGTCGATACCAGGTGAGTAGAATTTTGTACCGCAGAGGTGGTTTTTCCAGTGAAAGGACGCAGGATTTCAGACAAAAAACGAGCCAGTTTGTAGGTGGGGGAGTTGATAGTAGAGACGATGGGACGAAGGGGTGTATCTACTTTATGTATTTTTGGTAAGCCGTATAATCTTGGTAGCCTGGCAGCAGAAGGTTTCAACGAAAACTGTTTAGATTGATCAATTAATGCGGTTGAATCAGAAGTTATTTTGTTGGTTTGTGTGACGAGGCTGTTGGTGGGATCTCTTTTTATTTTTGTATAACTACCATCGTCGAGTAATTCTTTAATTTTGTTGTTGTATTCTATTTTATCCATGATGAACTTAAACCCTGATTGCAATATGCGGCTTCATAAGATATCGTGCAGCCTGAAAAATCGTTGCAAAGTTCAAGAGGTCACTGCGGCCAAACACAATTGGTGCGACTGCACCTCGCCATCGCTGCCTTCCCTCTGCCAGCTCCTAAAATCGTTTTATAGTTGGCTGCCAATCCCCAAGGTCTGCTGAGTCAATGAGCGATTATAAAAATAAATAAAACATTCTTGGAACTGAGCCAGTGCCAAGGAGGTTCTGGGTTTTAAGCTAGGTCTCAGCTACCTGTGAGGTCATGGTTTTAGCCAGGTCACCAATGACTTGTGTAGTGACATCGTTGGATGTCACTGTGTGAAGCCAGGCTGGGAGAGGCACGGCGTGCAGTGTAACGACATCGCGGACACCACTTGAATGTGGATGCAGTACCGGCCCTAGTGGGGCTCGCCAAGCACTGACTGACAGTGACGGATGGCACCACGCTCTGCGTGCTGTGCCAGCCCCTACAGGATGGACTGCGAGAAGGTTACAAGGGGCCATGGCACTCTGGTTGACCCCGGAGGACACGTGACCGGTTGTGGCTACACGGGAACCCCTACAGGGGGGCTAGGGGTGATCACGTGTCCAGGGGGAGATCCTCCTCGAGGATTCGAGAAGGTGGCCGTGGCTAGGGAAGGAGCGAGCCCCGCCACCGAGGATATAAGCCGGGCCCCCCCAGTGGGACCAGCTGTTGTTGTTCATCCTGAAGATTCCACGTCCCACGTTCTACGTCCTACAGACTCTCCAACACGTGGACCCGGACACGAGCTGGGGTCCGTTCTGTTGTAGCTAGTTACGGTGTGGTTAGTGTAGTTAGCCTGGTGGTTACGTAGCTAGTTACGGTGTAATTAGTGTAGGTAGCCTGGTGGTCCACCACCATAGGTTATCTGGTAAAGGGGCAGTTACACCTTTGTGTTGGTGTGTTGGTGTTAATAAATGTGTTGCCTCCAAAGAGTACGTCTGCGAGTCAGTTTGAGCCCACTACACTTGCACAAAAAAACCTCCCAACATTACATTTGGTTCTGCAGGAATTGGAAGCCAGATTGTCCCCCCTCATACAACACCTAGAATAAGTTGATAGGATGTAGGGTCGGGAGACAGGGACCCAGGATAAGGAGTGGAAATACTTTTTTTTCGTTTAGGCCGCCTTTTATGTTTTTCTTTTATTTATGTCAGCTGTGTTTTGGTTGTATCCCTCTCTCCCCTTGTAATCCCTTCCCCCTTACTTAAAAAAGTCACCCGTGGCTTATGCTGACCATATGTGTACAAGTGCGTCACAACGTAATGTCTGCACATTGCCTCAATAAAAATAAATAGAAATACAATTTTTAATTGGTTTTGGCTCAATTACAGCTCTGAAAATAAAATGAAAATATTGGTTTGAAGTGAAAGAGCGCTGGACCAAATGGCACTTTGAAGTAGGATTCTCAGTGGTAGTTCTGTGATATCCGCTTTCGTGACAGCCGCTCTCTTAAACGGGGTGGGGAGGGGGGGTGTCGGAATCTCCATCGTAAACACAGAGAGAGCGATCAGAGGGGGGAGGGATCGCATTTGGCGGGGTAAAAAAAAGATTATTATCGTCACCTCGAGCCCTCTCTCCTGTCGCGTGCGGTCGTCGCATGCGGCGGAGTTGATGCTCCAGCGGCAGTCAACGTCCGACACGAGCCCCCGGTAGAAGGGGGCGGCGGCGCTGAGGGCCATCTGCAGGAGGGGCGAGCGCACGCAGTCAGATGGTACTCGCCGATGATGGAGGGAGCCAGCTGTACTCACTGACACTCACTCACCATGATGGGACAGAGTAGCCAGCTGTACTCACTGACACTCTCTCACCAAGATGGGACAGAGCAGCCATCTCTACTCACTGACACTCACCATGATGGGACAGAGCAGCCATCTGTACTCACTGACACTCACCATGATGGGGCAGAGCAGCCATCTGTACTCACTGACACTCACCATGATGGGGCACAGAACAGCCATCTGTACTCACTGACACTCACTCACCATGATGGGGCACAGAACAGCCATCTGTACTCACTGACACTCACTCACCATGATGGGGCACATAACAGCCAGCTGGTCGTAGATATGTCGCGCTTCTTCCATGTTTCTAGCCTGCAGTGTGACCTGTGATGCAAAAGAGAAAGCTTCCGAAGCAGTATTGATCATTCTCTCTCTCGCCTCTCACCGTGTGCGCGAGAGTGAACGAAATCTGTGCACGCAAACAAATGCTTCACGATCGTTTTCGTGTCGTAAGCCAGTTTGTGGGATTTTGCAAATCCGGCGGTGGATATGAGTGGGCCCCGAGGCGGGCAGGCTTGTCTAACTGGGGCGCCACAGTGGCTAGGAGATGTTAACTACGTAGCCTGGTGTACAGGAGATTGTGGGTTCGATCCTGACCCTGACGCCTGTATATTTGGAGTTTACATGTTCTCCCCGTGGTCGCGTAGATTTTTTCCTCCGGGTCCTCCGGCTTTTCCCCTCCACATTTAGAATCATCATCGCACGTTCAGAGTATTTGACTGCTGCTATAAATTTCCACACGACGACGTTGATGACGACGATGAGCCCACGTTGTCGAGCTATCATTTGTGAAAGCCAGGTCGCTTCTGAAAATAGCTACGCAGCTCAGTGGGCCTTCTTATCATGAAAAAATGTTCGTAATAAGAAAAAATAGTTTAGTTTCAACTTTCTACACCGATGCGAAATGCCTGGCAATAGCTTAATAAAACATTTTTAGCTCTACCTGGAGGCAGCAGTTTCCCGATCCGAATCCCACCGCGTCCATGTAAATGTGGTCGGCCTTCACCGCGATGGCCGCTTCCTCGTCACCGGGCGGAATTTGGTCGATGAATGGGGATGGAGTGTTTCTGTCCCTGAAGACTGGGGGGGGGGGGGGGGGGGGGGGGCGGGGGTGTGGGGGAGGTAGACGAGGGGGGGAAGCGAGGTTTGAAGCGCAGAGCGCATACTCCTGTTGTTGAACGTTGCAAGTGAAAGGGAAAAGAAAGGGGGACGGGGGGGCGGCTGGTTTGAATGATACCCACTCGGTACGTTCACCACGATCTTCTCTCCTCTCCTATCGTGGATGTTCCTCGCAATCGCGCTGCGGGCGAGAGACGACAAAAAACAACGTCCCTGTGAATTTCAAATGAATGCAATGGCCCTCCGTAATGGTACCCCGCAACATCAGCATTCCCTGCCCCCTGACGTCAATCCCAGGGTGCCACAGTGGCGAGATGTTAACTACCACGCCTGGTATACAGGAGGTTGTGGGTTCGATCCCGATGCTGCCACCTGCATATTTGGAATTGCATGTTGACCCCGTGGATGCGTGGATTTTTCTCCGGGTCCTCCGGTTTTCCCCCCTACATTTAGAATCAACGTGCATTTAGAGTATTTGACTGCGATGCATTTCCACACGATAAGCCACTTTGTTGAACAATCATTTGTGGCCAGGTCACTTCTGGAAAAGAGCTACATAGCTCTGTGGGCCTTACCTGGTAAAATAAAAAAAAGTTTCGTTTATTTTAGTTTACTCCCAAGTATTCGTTTGAGGTTGAATCGACCTAGGAGAGGCCCAAAACCGGTTCAAATAATCGTCACTCGTGTTGACCATGAGTGGGAATCTAACTCGGGCCGCCGGGTTCAGTAGCGCAGCGCGCTGACCGCTACTACACTATCGCTCCCCACACTTTCCAGATCTCACGCACTCACTCACATACTCACTCCACACTCACCACACACTCTCACCTGAAGCGCGAGTGGCTGGTGATAACCTCGTCCGGCAAGAACAGTGACGCAGTTATTCCGTCTCGGTGCTGGGGCACATACTCGGGTTGAGTGAAACCCGGGCAGCCGAGCCTGCGTCAACAGGAGCCACACGGGGGGGGGGGGGGGGTGCGTTGCACGGCAATGTGAGCCAGCAGGTGAGCAAGGGCGCACGCACCTGAACGCGGGCGAGCCAGCGATACGCGGCATGCAGGCTGCCCCTCCCTGTTTGAACCGACATCTGCACAGCGAAGCCCAGGCCTGCACCATTTTTTTCATTTTTTTTTTTTTAAACTGAGAAACGAGGGCAAATGTTCCAAGCGGTGAATTCGCGGACCCCCCCCCCCCCCCACCTCCCCCACGTGGCATTCTGTGTCGGGCTTCTGGGAACATCTGGGTGGGCATCGTGCTTTTAAATGTATATCTAAAAAGTAATTTTCTTTAAAACTGCTTGTTGTTGTGTTTAGTTTGTCCCCCCCACACACTTCGATTAGCACGGTTGGCTACGTTTAGTGCGAAAGAAGTTCAACATACATATGTAGTGACAGAGCGCTGACTGCTGTACAGCAGCTGCAGGTAGACACTGAGCGCATATACCATTGAGCATATACACGGTGTGTGTGCCGGCAGGGCGGAGGAACTGGGGTAAGGGTCACGGTAGACCCCGTGGGGAGGCCCCTGGAACCCTCTGGTGGGTTCGAGAAGGGGGCGCGGCTAAGGCGGAGCCAAGCCGGGCCGAGGGGAATGAAAGCAGCGGAGAGCGAGAGGCTCCGGGCTGCCGGTTCTGGGAGTGGACTCGTCTCGTCGCCGTTGGCTTTCTCGGTCGATGCTGTCGGTGCAAAACTGACAGGGTCGTGTCTGGGCCGGTTCGTACAGCAGCATGGTCGTGAGAGAGGGGGTCGGAGTTGGTGGTGTGAACGTAATACAGGAAGGACGGTGCCTCCTGCAACTACCTCATCTCCGGCTGAGCGTATGCGCCGCACGCCACCCGCACACACACAAGCCTCAACAAGGGAGAAGATACCTATGTACACGACACATACATACAAAGGGGGTGAGCTCGCACGCAGGTGCCTACTTCTTCTCCTGAGAGGAGAGCGATGCCAACGACGCTCCCTCTCACCTGGGGAAGGTGGTGAGGGAGCATATTGTCTCGTTCGCGCGCAGCCGAGCCAGCACGTCCCTCCGTCGCAGCCTCATGCTCGTCTCAACGCTGGTCAGCTCGGCGATGGAGCTTCCGTACGGCTGTGCTGGGATCCCCTCCAGCATGTAGCTGCTAAACTCCAAGTGCCACCGTGACGGGTGCCTGCCGCATGGAAAGGATATTACCATTGTTATTATTATCATTGCTTTGCTTCATCCTGCTTGATTGTACGCGCAAGGAAATCTCACCGAGCAAAAATTACCCTTTTAAATTTCGATTTAAAACTTTCGTGACTGCAAGGATTCATCTTCTTTGGTTCTTTCGGTAAAGTCACGTAGAATGAGAATAAAATAATAAATTGATAAAATAAAATAACACAATAATATTCTCACGACGTTTCGGCCACAACACAAGCGGCCTTCATCAGGTGAAGGGACGAGACTGTCTGGTAGGACAGCGCTGGAGTGAAAAAGCCACGCTCAGATCACGACCTTTAAGCTGTGTGAGAAGAAACAAAGCGCCTTGACAAAGGAATTAGCATATAATTTAGCATTGAAGTGGCTGAGTGATTAGCTTGTGACTGGTCACAGAAATGGCTATGTTAAAGTTAAAGCATACACATCTGTAGAGGCACCCATTGACAAAGGAATTAGCATAGAATTTAGCATTGAAATAGCTAAGTTAAAGCATACACATCCGCAGAGGCACCCCTTGACAAAGGAATTAGCATAGAATTTAGCATTGAAATAGCTGAGTGATTAGCTTGTAACTGGTCACAGAAATAGCTATGTTAAAGTCAGAGCATACACATTCACCGAGGCACCTAGTACAAATCAAACAGGAGAATTTAGCATTGAAATAACTAGGCGAATTTAGCATTGAAATAACTGAGTGATTAGCTAGTGACTGGTCACAGAAATGGCTATGTTGAAGTCAAGGCCTACACATCTGAGCTATTCACAGTAACTGGGTATACAATACAATATATAATGAATACTATATAGTAAACCAATAAAAAACTAAAATATAAATTACCTTAATGTTATCAATAAACTCTATATTCTCCAATCAGCTAAGCTACCAACAATAAGTCGTTATATATCACAATGCTATATGGCGAAAAAATGGGTGGATTCTTACCCTCAACTTTAGCAACACGGATAGCTACGGGCCCCGTTCAGACGGACGAGTTCATCCATGGTCAGAACAGAGGAGGGGGAGAGAGACAGCTGCGAGGCGCTATTATACTCCATGTTGTAAACCATACCATTAACCGTGGTGTGAGAGGTATTAAGAGTCAATGCTGGCGAAAGAGCTGCGGTCTGAAGGTCATCGTAAAATACAATTAATTAAGAACGGAAATGGTTTAAAACATCTTTCCAATGGTTACTAAGCCAGAATCCATCTTCTCGGTTGAAATTGTCTCTGTGCTTGTATATGTGAATGGCCTCATGAACGAATCTCTCATGGTAGCCGGTTGGTTTGCAAAGAACCTCCGTCTTTTGAGAAGTCAATGTCATGTGAGCCCACTGAATTATAACAGTGATTTGCCACGGCAGAGGAGTTAGTTCTACCGTGTTTCAAGTCTGCTTTATGTTCACGGATGCGGTCCGAGATATGTCGTTTGGTTTCTCCAATGTAGCTACTACCACAGAGGTACTTTAGTTTGTAAACGCCCGGGTACTGTATGTCTGGAACAGCATCTTTTACAGATGGAACTAAATCACGGATTTTATGTACTGTGTTGAATCGGACCTGGATCTTGTGTTTATTCAGGATTTTGGAGATCTTTTTAGTGACCCCCGCAATGTAGGGTAAGGTGATGGTTTTGAGTGGCTCCACAAGAGGATCCTTCTTCATGACTGGAGTGATGGCTATGCGGATTGTGTAGTCGGAGTAACCATTAGCCCTGAGAGCCTGGTGTACGAGCTTGAGTTCACTGGTAATGTGTTCCTGGTCGGAAATGCATTGGGCTCTATGGTATAGAGTCTTGATGAGGGAGTTCTTCTGGAATGGATGGTGGTGGGAATCCGGTTTCAAGTAAGCATCTGTATGGGTAGCTTTCCAGTAGACAGAGTGGCTCATTGAACCATCATGTCTCATTTTAATTAAGACATCCAAAAAGGGTAGTTTGCCATCTTTTTCGACCTCCATGGTAAATCTGATGGCTGGGTGTATGGAATTGATGTGGTCGTGGAATTGGTCTAGAGCAGGCTGGCCATGTGGCCAGATGACAAAGGTGTCATCCACGTACCTCTTCCATAAGGTCGGGCGTAGAGTGGCAGTCTGGATGGCGTCAGTTTCAAATTTTTCCATGAATATGTTGGCTACAACCGGAGATAGGGGGGAGCCCATTGGGGTGCCCTCAGTTTGTTTGTAGAAAGTTCCATTCCAGGTAAAGTATGTGTTGGTTAAGCAATGTCTCACCAGGGGGGGTACATCAGTATGCAGTCCTTGATGAACCAGGTCTTCAATGATAGCGATGGTGTCAGGTACCGGGACTTTGGTGAACAAGGACACCACATCAAAACTGACAAGCAGGTCGTCTGGGGACAGGGAAATGCCTTTGATTGTCGATACCAGGTGAGTAGAATTTAGTACCGCAGAGGTGGTTTTTCCAGTGAAAGGTCGCAGTATATCAGCAAGAAAACGTGCCAGTTTATAGGTGGGGGAGTTGATAGTAGAGACGATGGGACGAAGGGGTGTATCTTCTTTGTGTATCTTTGGAAGGCCATATAATCTTGGTGGTCTGGCAGCAGAGGGTTTCAACGAGAACTGTTTGATTTCATCAATTAATGCTGTTGAATCAGAGATGATTTTGTTCGTTTTGGTAACCAGGTTGTTGGTGGGATCTCTTTTTATTTTTGTATAGCTGCCATCGTTGAGTAGTTCTTGAATTTTGTTGTTATATTCTGTTTTGTCCATGATGACAGTGACATTGCCCTTGTCGGCTGAGAGGACGACAATAATATTCTCACGACGTTTCGGCCACAACACAAGCGGCCTTCATCAGGTAAAGGGACGAGACTGTCTGGTAGGACAGCGCTGGAGTGAAAAAGCCACGCTCAGATCACGACCTTTAAGCTGTGTGAGAAGAAACAAAGCGCCTTGACAAAGGAATTAGCATATAATTTAGCATTGAAGTGGCTGAGTGATTAGCTTGTGACTGGTCACAGAAATGGCTATGTTAAAGTTAAAGCATACACATCCGCAGAGGCACCCCTTGACAACGGAAAAATTTGAAACTGACGCCATCCAGACTGCCACTCTACGCCCGACCTTATGGAAGAGGTACGTGGATGACACCTTTGTCATCTGGCCACATGGCCAGCCTGCTCTAGACCAATTCCACGACCACATCAATTCCATACACCCAGCCATCAGATTTACCATGGAGGTCGAAAAAGATGGCAAACTACCCTTTTTGGATGTCTTAATTAAAAGGAGACATGATGGTTCAATGAGCCACTCTGTCTACAGGAAAGCTGCCCATACAGATGCTTACTTGAAACCGGATTCCCACCACCATCCATCCCAGAAGAACTCCCTCATCAAGATTCTATACCATAGAGCCCAATGCATTTCCAACCAGGAACACATTACCAGTGAACTCAAGCACGTACACCATGCTCTCAGGGCTAATGGTTACTCCGACTACACAATCCGCATAGCCATCACTCCAGTCATGAAGAAGGATCCTCTTGTGGAGCCACTCAAAACCATCACCTTACCCTACATTGCAGGGGTCACTAAAAATATCTCCAAAATCCTGAATAAACACAAGATCCAGATCCGATTCAACACAGTACATAAAATCCGTGATTTAGTTCCATCTGTAAAAGATGCTGTTCCAGACATACAGTACCCGGGCGTTTACAAACTAAAGTGCCTCTGTGGTAGTAGCTACATTGGAGAAACCAAACAAAATATCTCGGACCGCATCCGCGAACATAAAGCAGACTTGAAACACGGTAGAACGAACTCCTCTGCCGTGGCAGATCACTGTTATAATTCAGTGGGCTCACATGACATTGACTTCTCCAAGACGGAGGTTCTTTGCAAACCAACTGGCTACCATGAGAGATTCGTTCATGAGGCCATTCACATATACAAGCACAGAGACAATTTCAACCGAGAAGATGGATTCTGGCTTAGTAACCATTGGAAAGATGTTTTAAACCATTTCCGTTCTTAATTAATTGTATTTTACGATGACCTTCAGACCGCAGCTCTTTCGCCAGCATTGACTCTTAATACCTCTCACACCACGGTTAATGGTATGGTTTACAACATGGAGTATAATAGCGCCTCGCAGCTATCTCTCTCCCCCTCCTCTGTTCCGACCATGGATGAACTCGTCCGTCTGAACGGGGCCCGTAGCTATCCGTGTTGCTAAAGTTGAGGGTAAGAATCCACCTATTTTTTCGCCATATAGCATTGTGATATATAACGACTTATTGTTGGTAGCTTAGCTGATTGGAGAATATAGAGTTTATTGATAACATTAAGGTAATTTATATTTTAGTTTTTTATTGGTTCACTATATAGTATTCATTATATATTGTATTGTATACCCAGTTACTGTGAATAGCTCAGATGTGTAGGCCTTGACTTCAACATAGCCATTTCTGTGACCAGTCACTAGCTAATCACTCAGTTAGTTCAATGCTAAATTCGCCTAGTTATTTCAATGCTAAATTCTCCTGTTTGATTTGTACTAGGTGCCTAGGTGAATGTGTATGCTCTGACTTTAACATAGCTATTTCTGTGACCAGTTACAAGCTAATCACTCAGCTATTTCAATGCTAAATTCTATGCTAATTCCTTTGTCAAGGGGTGCCTCTGCGGATGTGTATGCTTTAACTTTAACATAGCCATTTCTGTGACCAGTCACAAGCTAATCACTCAGCCACTTCAATGCTAAATTATATGCTAATTCCTTTGTCAAGGCGCTTTGTTTCTTCTCACACAGCTTAAAGGTCGTGATCTGAGCGTGGCTTTTTCACTCCAGCGCTGTCCTACCAGACAGTCTCGTCCCTTCACCTGATGAAGGCCGCTTGTGTTGTGGCCGAAACGTCGTGAGAATATTATTGTGTTATTTTATTTTATCAATTTATTATTTTATTCTCATTCTACGTGACTTTACCGAAAGAACCAAAGAAGAAAATTTACTCTCTTTAAGTGGAGTCCTGCCATATTGTCATATTCAGGTGTATATTCCAAGGCATGCAATTTTGCGGGTATTTATTTCTTCAAAATAGGCAAAATCAAAACTGTTAAACTATTTTTTATTTTACCAGGTCAGGGCCACTGAGCTGTGTAGCTCTTTTCAGAAGCGATCTGGCCACAAATGATAGCTAAAAAAAGTGGGTTATCATGTGGAAATGTATAGCAGTCAAATACACTAAACCACTGTTGGTAAATGTGGAGGGAAAACCTGGAGAAGCTGGAGAAAAATCCACGCCATCACGGGGAGAATATGCAAGCTTCAAATATACAACAGGCGTCAAGGTCGGGATCGAACCCATGGCCTCCTGCATACCAGGCGAGGTAGTTAACATCTCTCCACCGTGGCGTCCCCTTGGATGCTGGTACACAATGGGCCTCCTGCAAATGACGTCACGAGACCTTTAGCGTCCACTTTGAAGCAGACGGCGGGCGCGTACCATGTGACCCACTCATGAACTGGCGGTTCCCGTGATAGTTGGTTGCATTCGCTCGACTGCGTTCACTTCCACCATAGCGCTCATCTCCTCTCGTCCTTATCTTTGGTGCAATGTGCCTGTTCATTTGGTTAATATTGTCACGTTTTTGTTCTGTAGAGCACTATTTTCACAATGCACCTCCAACGCGTTGTTCCGACGTCGCTCGTTCCTGCTTACCGTGGATCACTCTGTCGTTGTTGTACTCGCTCTGTGCTGATGCACCACGGACCTTCGTTGAAAAACTAGCTGGGAAGCTGGCTAAACAGGATATTCCGTGTAGGAAATAACCGTTGAACTGAAAGATGTTCTGCGATGCCACAGTTAACCTTCTTATGCCATTCTTCAACAACCGAAAAGTATCCACAACAGAGGTTTTTAGGGTAGGATTGCGTAAATATAAATTTGTCGTTAAACCTGCCACTACCCGACACAGCCAATTATTAAAGTTTGTCACGTAAACAAAACATGCCAATTCTTAGTTCAGCACAATTGTGTGTTGGAGAGTAAACCCACAACATTTGCAATTCGAGTACGACGTTTCGCAAGTAAATACACCCAGCATCATCAGGCTAGAGACAGAATTGTCTGAGGTGGGGGTAAATGTGATGCCATCACTTGTGAGCCATTCAGGTGCCACACAGCTGGCATTGTCGATGTCACTGTGCCTTGAGTGCACCGTTGACTTGTAAACATGTCGAAACAAGTGACAATTCAATACCTCAGATGATACCGAATAACAAAAAGGGAAATGTATATAAATGAATCGTTTGAAAAAATATATATATATAGCAGTGTAATTTCGGTTCCTCTGGGATCGGCTTGACACCCCCAACCGCCCTCACCACCTCTGCGTGTCATTATTCATGCTTATCTCCAGCCTAAATCTTGACTTAAAGCTTTGGTGACTGCAGGAATTAATATTCTTCTGGTCTTTCGGTAAAGTCACGTAGATAGGTTCAAAGAAAATAACAAAAAATAACAAAAAACTACGACGTTTCGATCGCAACACAAGCAATTGTCATCAAGAGGAAAAAAGAGGGGCATAGCTGCTGAGGCAGACTGTATTAAAGATTTCCAATGGGTGTAGCCCAAGGCTAGTGATGTTAATGTGAGAGATTACCATGTTAATGTGAGATCGGAAATCGGCCTCCACGTGTGCGTGGAGGTGGCTATGTTAATGTGAGAGATTAGCGTGTTAATGTGAGAGATTACCATGTTAATGTGAGATCGGAGAGCGGCCTCCACGTGTGTGTGGAGGTGGCTATGTTAATGTGAGAGATGAGCATGAAAATGTGAGAGATTAGCATGTTAATGTGAGAGATGTGCATGTTAATGTGAAATCGGAGAGCGGCCTCCATGTGTGCGTGGAGGTGGCTATGTTAATGTGAGAAATTAGCGTGTTAATCAGGGGCGAAGCCAGGATTTCAGGCCGGGGTGACATTCAACAAATGTTAATTTCAAGAATGATTAGAGAGTCAGGCTGTTGAACTGGACGCCACCGGTTGGCGACACACTCTGACAATGCAGTTGCAGGGAGTCCGGCAGACCGAGTGTCGTACACTTATACGCAGAATGTCACCCCTGTCACCCCCCCCGGCTCCGCCCCTGATGTTAATGGCAGATCGCAGAGCAGCAACGTCGAGCTCGGCGAGCTCAGTGGCTGTGTCAGTGTGGGAAATGTAACCTGGTAACGTATAATCAGAGAGCCGAAAATAACAACTAGGAAGGTGGTAGGATGGGAACATCACAGCCAGTTATCACTTAAACTGCTTGACAACCTTTACAACAGTCTGCCTCAGCAGCTCTCCTCTTTTTTCCTCCTGATAACGATCACTTGTGTTGTGATCGAAACGTCGTAGTTTTTTGTTATTTTCTCTCAAACCTATCGACGTGACTTTACCGAAAGACCCAAAGAATGTATTTCGGTAAAGTCACGTTGATAGGTTCAAAGAAAAAAATAACAAAAAAAACTACGACGTTTCGATCACAACACAAGTGATCGTGATCAGTAGGGAAAAAAACAACCTATCTACGTGACTTTACCGAAAGACCCAAAGAATTTGAATTCCTGCAGTCAGGAAAGCTCTTAGTCAAGATTTACTGAAAGAGCCAAAGAATGCGTGCATTCCTCCTGCCCCACCTTGAGGTGGGGAGGGGCGGGGGCAATTATCACATTTTACGCAAAGTGTTGGGTTTGAAAAACGCCTTGGGGCCGTTGTGAGCACGTGGCAGGAGGAGAGTGAGGAGGGTGAGGAGGAGGAGGTCTCACCCCAGGTTGGCCTCCTCGTCCATGGCTATCAAGTCATTGACCAGCTCCTCTGCGCTCAACAGGACGCGGGCCCTGCGCGCCACGTGATCAAAGGAGACGAGCATGTACTCGACCTGCGCGCTCACACGGGGGCAGACGCAGAGAGGAGGGGGACACGGGGAGAGGGACACGGGGAGGGGGACACGGGGAGAGGAGACGGAGAGAGGAGGGGGACACGGGGAGGGGAGGGGGACACGGAGAGAGGAGACGGAGTGAGGAGGGGGACACGGGGAGAGGAGGGGGACACGGAGAGAGGAGGGGGACACGGGGAGAGGAGACGGAGAGAGGAGACGGAGAGAGGAGGGGGACACGGAGAGGGGAGGGGGACACGGACAGAGGAGACGGAGAGAGGAGGGGGACACGGGGAGGGGAGGGGGACACGGAGAGAGGACACGGAGAGAGGAGACGGAGAGAGGAGGGGGACACGGGGAGGGGAGGGGGACACGGGGAGAGGAGACGGAGAGAGGAGGGGGACACGGGGAGGGGGACACGGGGAGAGGAGACGGAGAGAAGAGGGGGACACGGGGAGAGGAGGGGGACACGGGGAGAGGAGACGCAGAGAGGAGGGGGACACGGAGAGGGGAGGGGGACACGGGGAGAGGAGACAGAGAGAGGATGGGGACACGGGGAGGGGGACACGGGGAGGGGGACACGGGGAGAGGAGACGGAGAGAAGAGAGGGACACGGAGAGAGGAGACGGAGAGAGGAGGGGAACACGGGGAGAGGAGACGGAGAGAGGAGGGGGACACGGGGAGAGGAGACGGAGAGAGGAGGGGGACACGCAGAGAGGAGGGGGACACGGGGAGAGGAGACGGAGAGAAGAGGGGGACACGGAGAGAGGAGACGGAGAGTGGAGGGGGACACGGAGAGAGGAGACGGAGAGAGGAGGGGGACACGGGGAGAGGAGACGGAGAGAGGAGGGGGACACGAGGAGAGGAGACGGAGAGAGGAGGGGGACACGGGGAGGGGAGGGGGACACGGGGAGAGGAGACAGAGAGAGGAGGGGGACACGGGGAGGGGGACACGGGGAGAGGAGACGGAGAGAAGAGAGGGACACGGAGAGAGGAGACGGAGAGAGGAGGTGGACACGGGGAGAGGAGACGGAGAGAGGAGGGGGACACGGGGAGAGGAGACGGAGAGAGGAGGGGGACACGCAGAGAGGAGGGGGACACGGGGAGAGGAGACGGAGAGAAGAGGGGGACACGGAGAGAGGAGACGGAGAGAGGAGGGGGACACGAGGAGAGGAGACGGAGAGAGGAGGGGGACACGGGGAGAGGAGACGGAGAGAGGAGGGGGACACGGGGAGAGGAGACGGAGAGAGGAGGGGGACACGCAGAGAGGAGGGGGACACGGGGAGAGGAGACGGAGAGAAGAGGGGGACACGGAGAGAGGAGGGGGACACGGAGAGAGGAGACGGAGAGAGGAGGGGGACACGGGGAGAGGAGACGGAGAGAGGAGGGGGACACGAGGAGGGGGACACGGGGAGAGGAGACGGAGAGAGGAGGGGGACACGGGGAGAGGAGGGGGACACGGGGAGGGGGACACGGAGAGAGGAGACGGAGAGAGGAGGGGGACACGGGGAGAGGAGACGGAGAGAGGAGGGGGACACGGGGAGAGGAGACGGAGAGAGGAGGGGGACACGCAGAGAGGAGGGGGACACGGGGAGAGGAGACGGAGAGAAGAGGGGGACACGGAGAGAGGAGACGGAGAGAGGAGGGGGACACGGGGAGAGGAGACGGAGAGAGGAGGGGGACACGAGGAGGGGGACACGAGGAGGGGGACACGGAGAGAGGAGACGGAGAGAAGAGGGGGACACGGGGAGGTGGAGGGAGGAAACAGCAACACGGCCATGCCATCACGGCCAAGCCGAAGCCCCTTTCAGACCAACAATATCAACAAACACATTCGTCAGTAACACTGTGGCCCTAGAAGTATAACGACAAGTTTTTTTCGTTGCTTGATTGTGTTTTGTTTATTATAATTTCGTGTTGAATTGCCAGCCCCCACCCTCCGCCGCGCACCTTCCCCCCGGTGCGACAAGTTTGCGACAGAAGTTCAACATACGACCAGCACCATCACCACCACCATCTCCACAAACACCATCATCACTACCTTCAGTTCAGTTCATTGATTTTGTTACAGCCCTGTGAGCCATTCGGCTCTTGAATCGGGTGCAACCGCAACAAACAAAAAACATGAACACGAAAACATCTCAAAGTGACTACGCGCAACAGAAAAAGATCACCCCGTGTCGCCTTAACGGACTGCTGGGGCAAGTGCAGTTAGCGAGCACCTATTAAGGCCGGCACGGCACACGAGGGAGTGGGTGGCCAGCACCAAACCCGGCCGCCTTTGTCTCCCTCGGGGACGATGTTTACTACACACCGCACCAGGTAACTCATTTGAGGCTGAGTCGACCTAGGGAAGGCCCGGTACCGGTTCAGACAATCGCCACCGGCGGTGTTGTCCGTGAGCGGGAATCGAACTACCGCCAAAGGCAAAGATGCCCCCCGTATGGGCTTCACGGGCTGCAGGAGAAAGTTGGTGTGAGCGAGCAAGCACCATCGACCGACTGTGCCTAAAGCAGCATTCGATATCAATAATCACTCACGCAATCACACCGGAATGGGCTCGAGGCACAGGCGTTTATTGTTATTTGCTGCTGCTGACTGGACAATGAGGAAAACGGAAGCCCACCTCATCACCTCAGATACTCACCTCGTCACTTCACGCTGACCTCATCCTCTCACCTCGTCTTTTCACCTAGTCTCATTTACCTCGTCCCCTAAATAATCTCATCACCGCGCTCACTCGCTTTCTCGTCACCTCGTCTCTGTCACCTCGTCCCCTCACTCATCACCTCGTCACCTCACTCATCACCCGGTCTCTGTCACCTCGTCGCTTCACTCATCACCTCGTCGCCTCACTCATCACCTCGTCGCCTCACTCATCACCTCGTCCCCTTACTCATCACCTCGTCCCTTCACTCATCACCTCGTCCCCTTACTCATCACCTCGTCCCTTCACTCATCACCTCGTCGCCTCACTCATCACCTCGTCCCTTCACTCATCACCTCGTCGCCTCACTCATCACCTCGTCCCCTCACTCATCACCTCGTCCCCTCACTCATCACCTCGTCCCCTCACTCATCACCCGGTCTCTGTCACCTCGTCGCTTCACTCATCACCTCGTCGCCTCACTCATCACCTCGTCGCCTCACTCATCACCTCGTCCCCTTACTCATCACCTCGTCCCTTCACTCATCACCTCGTCCCCTCACTCATCACCTCGTCCCTTCACTCATCACCTCGTCGCCTCACTCATCACCTCGTCCCTTCACTCATCACCTCGTCCCCTCACTCATCACCTCGTCCCCTCACTCATCACCTCGTCGCCTCACTCATCACCTCGTCCCTTCACTCATCACCTCGTCGCCTCACTCATCACCTCGTCCCCTCACTCATCACCTCGTCCCCTCACTCATCACCTCGTCCCTTCACCCATCACCTCGTCGCTCTCACCTCGTCCCTTCACCCATCACCTCGTCCCCTCACCCATCACCTCGTCCCCTCACTCATCACCTCGTCCCTTCACCCATCACCTCATCGCCTCACCCATCACCTCGTCGCCTCACCCATCACCTCGTCGCCTCACCCATCACCTCGTCGCTCTCACCTCGTCGCCCCACAGGAGCGGGTGGTCCCCGTGGCCCCGCCGCGTGAGGCACCGCACGAGCTGCTGCAGGCCGCGCGCGCGCACGAACTCCGCCTGCGCCTTCGCGTCGCTCCAGCGCAGGATCGAGCCTCTCAGTTGCGGCCCCATCCGCGGTGACGAGGTGAAGCGACGAGGTTGAAGGAGCGAGAGGAGGTCGGGTGAAGAGGGGAGGAGATGAGGGAGATGACGGGGGCTGGGGAGAGACGAGGTGGAGGGAGTGAGGGGTGTGACGAGATGAGGGAGATGACGGGGCTGGGGGGAGACGATGAGGTGAGTGACGAGGTGAGTGGATGAGGTGGAGGGAGTGAGGGGTGTGACGAGATGAGGGAGAGGACGGGGGCTGGGGAGAGACGATGAGGTGAGTGACGAGGTCAGTGGATGAGGTGGAGGGAGTGAGGGGAATGGCGGGATGAGGGAAATGACGGGGGCTGGGGAGAGACGATGAGGTGAGTGACGAGGTGAGTGGATGAGGTGGAGGGAGTGAGGGGTGTGTCGAGATGAGGGAGATGACGGGGGCTGGGGAGAGACGATGAGGTGAGCGACGAGGTTTGGTGGAGGGAGTGAGGGGTGCGATGGCGAGATGAGGTGAGTGACGAGCGGGTGTGAGAGCAGCTAAGGGGAGGCGATGTTGATGAGGTTAAAGACGACTTGCGGAATTGAGACGACGTGAGGGAGTGTGACGAGGTGAGGGTAAGGGTGTGTAATGAGGTGACGAGGTGAGGGTAGAGAGTGTTTTGAGGTGATGAGGTGAGTGTGGAACAGCCACGCGAGATTTACATATAAAACAAGTATCAGGACACTCGCGTGAACACGTGAGAACAAGAGGCACTGATGTTAATCGCAGCGACATTAGAAGACACTTCTCACACACACTCTTATTGGGAGATACAAAGGCGGGAATGAACTCCGAGACATTGCAGAGAGACGCCGCTGCCCAGTGGGCAAAACTAAACTTATGAACCACATTGTTCACTCATAAGCGTCTATTGTGCATTGTGTGTGAGCGTGAACGTCTGTGTTCACGTGCGTTGATGCGATATGTGCCGATGTTGATGTGTTCGTGTGCACGTGTGTGTGCGTGTGGTAACGTGTTCTTGTGTATACCTTTGTGTGTATGTGCGTTCGTGCGTATGCGTTTCCGAGTGTGCACGTGTTCACGTGCATATGGAACACGCGTGCGCGCTCATGTGTGCGGTGACGCCGACACACGTTACCTTTTAAGAGGCTAATAATGGTGCACAGGGCTGGTTCTTGAGGCTTGAACTCCGTCTCCTCTCAAACATCTCCTCTCATTGTGCTGTCTTCTTTTATACCTCCCAAGCCCCCTCGCTGGAAACTTCTATCACCCCACTCCTTTTGGCCAGTTATTCTAACCCTTCCCCAACAAGGCATCTCACCATCCTTCTGCAGTCCACCCTTGCTCCAATCTCTTTAAATCTTGCCTCTTTACCAATCACTGTGGAGGCCTCTCTGGGCAAATGGGATGCCTTGGCGTACTTCCTGATTGTCTGACCGTACACTTGTGTCAGGTAAGTGGTTTGTTATCTCGGTCATTTCATCACCCTCCTCCCTCCCCTTTAAAAAGGCTAACACCAGGGAGGGAAATGACCAGACCAACAGACCCCGGGAAGCCAAGAGGAACTCTACCCACCAAAACTTGATGACATCCAAACAATGAGAACGTTGTGTCTGGCAATAAACAATTACAGTGAGGGAAAAAATATTTGATCCCCTGCTAATTTTGTACGTTTGCCCACTGACAAAGAAATGATCAGTCTATAATTTTAATGGTAGGTTTGTTTGAACAGTGAGAGACAGAATAACAACAACAAAATCCAGAAAAACGCATGTCAAAAATGTTATAAATTGATTTGCATTTTATATAGGGAAATAAGTATTTGACCCCTCTGCAAAACATGACTTAGTACTTGGTGGCAAAACCCTTGTTAGCAATCACAGAGGTCAGACGTTTCTTGTAGTTGGCCACCAGGTTTGCACACATCTCAGGAGGGATTTTGTCCCACTCCTCTTTGCAGATCTCCTCCAAGTCATTAAGGTTTCGAGGCTGACGTTTGGCAACTCGAACCTTCAGCTTCCTCCTTCTATGGCATTAAGGTCTGGAGACTGGCTAGGCCACTCCAGGACCTTAATGTGCTTCTTCTTGAGCCACTCCTTTGTTGCCTTGGCCGTGTGTTTTGGGTCATTGTCATGCTGGAATACCCATCCACGACCCATTTTCAATGCCCTGGCTGAGGGAAGGAGGTTCTCACCCAAGATTTGACGGTACATGGCCCCGTCCATCGTCCCTTTGATGCGGTGAAGTTGTCCTGTCCCCTTAACAGAAAAAGACCCCCAAAGCATGTTTCCACCTCCATGTTTGACAGTGGGGATGGTGTTCTTAGGGTCATAGACAGCATTCCTCCTCCAAACAAACACGGCGAGTTGAGTTGATGCCAAAGAGCTCCATTTTGGTGTCATCTGACCACAACACTTTCACCCAGTTGTCCTCTGAATTATTCAGATGTCCATTGGCAAACTTCAGACGGGTATGTATATGTGCTTTCTTGAGCAGGGGGACCTTGCGGGCGCTGCAGGATTTCAGTCCTTCACGGCGTAGTGTGTTACCAATTGTCAAGGGCGCCGTAAAGGGGTGGAAGGTTAGGACGATTCTAAGGGCCCAGGCTGATTTAGGGCCCAGAAGAGCAGACCCCCTTTTTCTTTTCTTATTTCTTTTCTCTTTTTTATACATACATTAAATGTGCTAGGGCCCCTCATGCATTAAATGTGTATTTTGTCCGTTTTGACCATAGATTTAATATTTAAAAACCAAATAATGTATTTACTGTTTCAGTCACACCCCTCCCCCTCACAATGGTTCATTCCACCTGCGCTGTCCGAGCTACGATCGCTAGTGTAGCGTCTCTTCCTTATTGCACTTGCTATGATGCAGTGCAGACAGTGACACACGCAGGCATGTCACATCAAAAGTCAGGGCATCAAAACGGAAAGAAAAGAAGGAAAGAGAAGACAGAGAACGCCGAAGTCGACAGTATGTCACACAGTTTTTCAAAAAGAAAGATAGCTTGCCCTATTCCTGTATTCCAAAACTTTCAGAGTTACTTAATTTTGTTGCTACATGACCTGCTTTTATCTAGCTAGCTTAGTTAAATAATTACTGAATTATGATTTACATCCAACAATAATAACATCTCTGCTGTCTCCGGGGTTATCATGTCTCGTAGACACAGATTCAGCGGCTGCTGCACACCCACGTCCTCCTTCCCCCACGTCCCCCGTCCCCGTCTCAGCCGAACAAGGTGAGCCTGAGCGCGAAACTTCACGAAGATTGAAGCCTCTAAACACGTCTTATCTACTGTGTTCGCCACATGATGATAACTTTACAAAACAAAAAGTAATCTACACGCTTCAAAAATTCCAAAATCAGTTTGCCGTGTGTGTGTCGTGTGTTCTGTGAAGTGACAGTGCTGCTGCTACGATCGATGTTGTCAAACTTGACGTTCTTAATGTGAATAAAATGCCCCAGAAAAAATAATATAAAATTGAATAAAACATGTGTCTGTAGTAAACATTGGCTATAAGGAGTTTACAAAATAGATATTTTAATATTTTATATTAAGAAAACTAAATAGGCCAATAAAAATAATATGGTTATTATTACGTGTGTGTGTGTTTGACTTATACAGATGCAGAGTCAGCTTTATTGTCTGCACCTCGTTCTCCTACTAATGACCCAGTCCTCTCAGTGTCAGGTAAGGTGAACATGGCCAGCTACCAAGGTAGTAGTCCTCTCAGCTGACAAGGGCAATGCTACTGTCATCATGGATAAAATAGAATACAACAACAAAATTAAAGAATTACTCGACGATGGTAGTAATACAAAAATAAAAAGAGATCCCACCAACAGCCTCGTCACACAAACCAACAAAAGAATTTCTGATTCAACCGCATTAATTGATCAATCTAAACAGTTTTCATTGAAACCTTCTGCTGCCAGGCCACCAAGATTATACGGCTTACCAAAATACATAAAGTAGATACACCCCTTCGTCCCATCGTCTCTACTATCAACTCAAACTAGCTCGTTTTTTGTCCGAAATCATGCGTCCTCTCACTGGAAAAACCACCTCTGCGGTACAAAATTCTACTCACCTGGTATCGACAATCAAGGGTATTTCCCTGTCCCCAGACGACCTGCTTGTCAGTTTTGATGTAGTTTCCTTATTCACCAAGGTTCCTGTACCTGACACCATTGCAATCATTGAAGACTTGGTTTATCAAGGACTAAACACTGAGGTACCCCCCCTGGTAAGACACTGTTTAACCAATACATACTTCACTTGGAATGGAACTTTCTACAAACAAACTGAGGGCACCCCAATGGGCTCCCCCCTATCTCCGGTTATAGCTAACATTTTCATGGAGAAATTTGAGCCTGATGCCATCCAGACTGCCACTCTGCGCCCAACCTTATGGAAGAGGTACGTGGATGACACTTTAGTCATCTGGCCACATGGCAGGCCTGCTCTAGACCAATTCTTCGACTACATCAATTCCATACACCCAGCCATCAGATTTACCATGGAAGTCGAAATAGATGGCAAGCTACCTTTTTTGGATGTCCTAATTAAAAAGAGACCTGATGGTTCAATGAGCCACTCTGTCTACAGGAAAGCTACCCATACGGATGCTTATCTGAAACCGGATTCCCACCACCATCTATCACAGAAGAATTATCTCAACAAGACTCTGTATCATAGAGCCCAATGCATATCCGACCAGGAACACATAGGCAGTGAACTCAAGCACGTACACCAAGCTCTTAAGGCTAATGGTTACTCCGACTATACAATCCGCAAAGCTATCACTCAAACCATGAAGAAGGACCCTCTTGAGGAGCCTTTCAAAACCATCACTTTACCCTACATTGCGGGGATCACAAAAAAGATCTCCAGAATCTTGAATAAACACAAGATCCAGGTCCGTTTCAACACATTACATAAAATCCGTGATCTGGTTCCGTCTGTAAAAGATGTGATACCGGACATACAATACCCTGGTGTCTACAAACTAAGTTGCCTCTGTGGTAGTAGTTACATTGGAGAAACCAAACGCCATGTCTCGGACCGCATTCGTGAACACAAAGCAGACCTTAAACACGGTAGGATCAACACTTCGGCCGTGGCAGATCATTGTTATAATTCAGTAGGCTCACATGACATTGACTTTTCCAAGACAGAGGTTCTTTGTAAGCCATCTGGCTACCATGAGAGATTCGTTCATGAGGCTATCCACATATACAAGCACAGAGACAATTTCAACCGAGAAGATGGATTCTATCTTAGCAATCATTGGAAAGATTTGATAAACCATTTCAGGTCTTAATTGATTGTTCACGCCTTCAGTGGCTTTCAGACAGCATACATTAAAAAAATTCGTCTCCCCCCTCCTCTTTTCAGAATATAGATGGACTAGTCCTAAATAAACTGCCAAATCGCTGCGCGTGGCGCTAACGTTTTTTTTATAAATAAATAAGTACACCGTTTAAAAATAAATGTATGCAAACCAACACACCTGAAGACGACCGTTTGTGTTATGGTCGAAACGTCGTGAGAATTTTTATTGTTTTATATATATTTTATTATTTTGTTGTTTCCCTTCAACGTGACTTTACCGAAAGAACTAAGAATATGAATTACTGCAGTCACGAAAGCTTTAAATCAAAATTTAACCGTCTCTACGGGGAGGGTTTTCACATAACTTTAAGATCCTTCAACAAACTCCGGGATAAGAAAGCTCAGCTGATCGAGTCTCTCACCTTCCTGAAGAGATTCCGCGACTCTGGGGTAATACCAATCGCATTTACACTGACCTCTGCTGCTGTAACTTCTTCTAATGCGAAACGAATTCTTTTCAAAACTAGCTTAGCTCTTATCTCAGAAAAAATCAGACTTATACGCACCGAACTAGATCAGTTAGACAAGACACTCTACAAATCACACTTATCATTGACGGCAACAATGTCCACATCGGATTGGGAACATGTAGACAATATGGCTGCCTCTTCAGCTGCTACTATGTCGACCAAATGTAAGGAAAACCTGATTTCCAAATTTAACCTCCTCTTCAACAAAAGACCGCACCCACACACCAAAAAGTTAGACGTTAACAAAGTCGTAATTAATCGCAGTAACAGTTCTATTTCCAATGGTCTGAAATCCGTTTTAGCTAAAGGTCTAAACTTTGCAGTCACACCTAAACACATACCAGTTAATGATATAATTGCCCAAGTAGACGTTGCTCTCAGGGGCCTGAGTCACATCGCTGCAGACGTAGCAAGATCTGAAATCGCTGCAAATCTCAAAAACGCTAAGATGCCAGCTAGCAACCTCAGCAAAGATGAGCGTTTTGAATTATATAAATTAAAAAAGAGGGATGATATTGTAGTCCTCTCAGCTGACAAGGGCAATGCTACTGTCATCATGGATAAAATAGAATACATTTACAAAATTAAAGAATTACTAGACGATGGTAGTTATACAAAATAAAAAGAGATACCACCAACAGCCTCGTCACACAAACCAACAAAAGAATTTCTGATTCAACCGCATTAATTGATCAATCTAAACAGTTTTCGTTGAAACCTTCTGCTGCCAGGCCACCAAGATTATACGGCTTACCAAAAAAATACGTAAAGTAGATACACCCCTTCGTCCC